ACTGGAGTATAGTCTCAACAACCTCAGTTGAGAGACCAGATGCTAGGAGCTGTGCCCCCTCAGGGGCCATGCCCACAGCTTCCATAACTCCGGGCGGGGGGGAAGAATGGTGCCCCCCGCCTGAGAGAGGAGGTCCCTCTTGATCGTAATCTCCAGCGGAGAGCCGTCGAGGAGGGACACCAGGTCCCAGAACCATACTCGGGCCGGCCAGAACGGGGCTACTAGCAACAGACGGCTTCAGAACGCGGTCACGCAAGGGCGTTCCCAAAGCGAATCTCGACGCAGCTCGAGTTCCTGAAGGGGAACCGCTATTTCTATCTTTTGCTGTAGTGTGTCAGTAGGAAATATCCAGAAGAACTGTGGCAACGTCTCCAAGACGCTTCAAGAGACCTACCTGCAAAGCTCCCTGAGGGCAAAAGCTGCTTTAAACGCAAAGGATGCTCACACCAAATATTGATTTGATTTAGTTAATAGAAGTTAATTGATAAAGAAAATCTATTTATGACATTATTTTTGACAGCATCCTCATTTTACAGCTTTTTAACTTAAACTTTTAACAGTACTGTAGCTTTGCAGGTAGGTTTCTTGAAACATCTTGGAGACGTTGCCACAGTTCTTCTGGATTGAGTCTGTCTCAGTTTGTTCTGTTTCTTCATGTCACTCCAGACAGACTGATGATGATCAGATCAGATCTCTGTGTGCAGCACTGGCTGCTGTCAGACAAAAGCCTCACTGGATTATTACAATCAATGGCAAAATGAAATATAAATTTGCTACTGACACACTACAGCAAAAGATAGAAATAACTGACTTAAAACCATTTTTAGCTGGTGAAAATACTAGTGTTCTAATAATTTTGGCCACCACTGTAAATCTTAATCATTATCTTTACATAATATGTAATATAAGTAATGTAAGTATGTCATGTAAGTATATTTAAATACATGGTATGCAAGTTTAGTCACAATAGATTTGTCACACTGTGTTCCCATGTCTTGTGTTTTGTTCCCCACATGCTCCATGTCCTGGTTTTCCCTTGTGTTTCCTTAGGCCCATATTTGGTTCTTCCTGTTCCTGTCCTTATTGTGTTGATTTGATTCCAGATGTGTCCTGTTCATCTCCTAGTTATGTTCTGATTATTTAAGCCCCATGTCTTTCCATGTCCCGCGTCCGGTATTATTCGTCCATGTGCTACGTGTGTGTCTGCCTGCCCTGTGTTTCCCCGAATCAGAAGATTAAAGACTGTGTTTTTGAGTTTACTCCTGTGTCTCCTCGTTCCTCCACAGTAGCTGAATCATGACAAGATTATTTTAGCTTTATGCATTTTAAATGATTATTCATACCGTTTGGCCTTTAATCATTCTCGAAAGACAATGCAATTATGCAATTATAGAATGTAGATACACTGAAGTCCTACTAAAGTGGGTCCACTAAAGTGGCCATTTCAGTAAAGTTTAACTTATTCCATTTAACATAAATTTTAGCTATAATACATTTTAATTTAATTGTAAATAACATGCAATTAAGGGCCAGTTTTACTAAACAGGGCAAATTAGCGCGAGAGCGCAATTCCAAAAGAGCGCAGATGGGCATGGAAATTTTTGCGGGTGATTTACTAACAACACAGACACAACATCTCATTTACATATCGACCAACGAAATATACCAAGCACAGTGCAAATTAGCGTAGTTGCGAATAAACAACAAAGAAATAAATAAGCCACAGTACGTTGAAAAGAACCGGAGGCCAAAAAATGAAGGTTTGCTAGAAGTTTTGATAGAGCTGGTATTGCGTGACTCCTAGTTGAGGGTTCCAAGTCGTCTTTTATTTCCTGAAGCAAATTAAAAATAGCATGGCTTGGCAAATGATATGTTTGGATAATGTGTTCTTCTCGCATTCTAAATAAACTAATACTTGTGAAAAAATCCCCTCCCTTCTACCACGCACTCTCTGTTCTCTGCGGTGCCTCCTCTTGACAACAATAATTGATTGCAGCCATTTCAAGCGCAAAATAGTTTAAGACATGCTTTTTTGGGGCGTTAAATAATGGCGCAAATACCAATAATTTGATGAGCGCAAACGTTAGTAAAACGTGTTGCGTGATTCATTTGAATACTCTCCTCACATAACTTTTGCGTCTGAAAGGGAAACACCTAGAAATGCATATTCAATAAGGTCAGGTGCAAAAATGACTGGGTCCATGCCTTTTCAGCGCTAATTCTTCACTGCGCGTCTTTAGTAAAACCTGACAGTACTATTTTAACGCCAAAAGACGGTTTTCACAGCCGCAAGCTGTTAGTAAAACTGGCCATAAGTGTCCAAAAACTTTACATTCAGTTTGTACTTAAGTATATTCCTTTGAAGTATATTATTTCATACTAAATACTCTTTTTAAATGTATGTTAAAGTGTACTTATTTTCACATTTTGCTAGCAAATAAATGTTGATTATGAGATGCAAAGTGGTCTTCTTCAAGGGGACACTTGATGGTTCAAAAACTCTTCCATTGAGCAAGAACCATGCTGGAAAATAATTTCATAATTTTATTATAAAAGATACAACTTAAATTTTGGTAACACTTTATTTTAAGGTGTCCTTGTTACACATGTTACATGTACTTACTATTATAATAACACTTAATTATGCATAATTGCATGCAAGTAACCCTAAGCCAAACCCTAACCATACAGTAAGTACATGTAGTTAATTAATATTACTCAGCACTTAAATATATAATTACACTGTAACAAGGACACCTTAAAATAAAGTGCAACCTAAAATTTTAAATGATATTATTTAAAATAATTATGCAATTTTAAATAAAATAATTAAATATACAGTAAATACACTAAATTATATAATTAAATTATTTATATCCATAATATCTAACCAGCTAGGGACACGCTAGTGACAGCTAGTTCCCGAACCCTGCGTCATGCTAAATGTCATGCGAATGGTTTATTCACAGGTGTGCAGCGTGCTGGAGAGTCTGGAGCAGGAGTACCGCAGAGATGAGGACTGGTGTGGAGCTCATGATAAACTGGGATCTTCAGCAGAGATGGATCATGTGCTGCCGCTCATCAGCAAACACCTGGAGCAGAAAGAGGCTTTTCTCAAGGTCACCACTGAACTGAACTGATCTCTCAAACTCTCTATCAGTCAGCACAAAGTTACCAACGTCATAATAACAATCACAAAAGAGTCTCCTGCATCCTCCTGTTGAAAAATCCAGCATATGCTGGTTAGGTATGTTTTGAAGCATGGCTGCTGGTTTGAGCTGGTTCTTAGCTGGTCATGTGAATGGTCCTAAGCTGGTCCTGAGCAGGAGCTAGTTGCTTAGGACCAGCTTAGGACCAGCTTAAACCAGCTCAAACCAGCAGCCATGCTTCAAAACATACCTTTTTCAACAGAGCTTACAGAAGAGCAGGGACAATTTGTATCTTTATGCAAAATCAATATCAAGAACATTTAGATCCGAAGATCTCTAATTTAGATCTTTAAGAAATAAATCCAGCTCAGGCATTGGACTGTGTGTATGTGAGGCTCTGTTTTGGATCTGTAAAGTCTGCTGTGTTCCTCAGGCATGTACTCTGGCCAGGCGAAATGCTGAGGTTTTTCTGAAATACATCCATCGGAATAATGTCAGCGCTCAGGGATCATCCAGCAACCCCCGCGGCCCCGAGCAACAGGTCAAAGGTCAGAGCTTCAAAGCTGATTATATCACAATCTTATAAATATGTGTCCATCTTTTCATATTCTCTTTATTTTTTAGCTTAGAATTCTTCATTCTTGATTTATCCAGTCATTCATTTATTCATGTTAGTCATTTGTCGTGTGTGTTGTGTTGCGTTTGTACAGCCATCCTGAATGAACTGCTACAGAGAGAAAACAGAGTTCTGCATTTCTGGACCATGAAGAAGCGACGTCTGGATCAGTGTCAGCAGTATGTGGTGTTTGAACGCAGCGCCAAACAGGTGAAAACACTGAACTGCACTGCACTGTTTGTGTGTGTGCGTGTGTGTGTTTGTGTGTGTGTGTGTGTTTGTGTGCGTGTGTGTGTGTGTTTGTGTGTGTGTGTACCTGGTATTTATCACGTTATGGGGACCAAATGTCTCCACAAGTATAGTAATACTAGTAAATTTTGTGTCACGGTGCGTGCAGGGAGATGACGCGAGGACTCAATTGCAGGAGAAATGGTTATTTATTTTGATAATAAAAATGAAACAAAAACAAACTCAAACCACCCCGAAGGGGAAAAACAGACAGGCAGGCCTAAAGCTGCACACATGCAGACACGAAACACACACAATGAGAAATGACGGATCAGCACAGGATGACAGACACAAGGAGAATAAATGGGAACCAAATGAGGAGGCTAACGAGGGAGACACAGGTGGATCAACTTAAACTATAACGAGGTAACAAGATGGGAGGGGCAAGACAATAGACAGGAGAGAGCACATGGCGACAGACAAACACAACACAAGCCATGTGCTCACAGAACACAGTCATCTGGTGGCCCTCCTGGGCACACCCGCTGCAGACTGCGACAATGTCCCCATAAAACATGGAAACACAACATGTGTGTGTGTGAGTGTGTGGTGTGTATGTGTGTGTGTGTGTGTGTGTGTGGTGTGTGTGTGAGTGTGTGTTGTGTGTGTGTATGTGTATGTGTGTGTGTGTGTGTGGTGTGTGTGGTGTGTATGTGTGTGTGTGTGTTTGCAGACTCTAGTAACTGCACTTTTTTTAGTTTGTGTATTTATCTTCATCTGCATGAATGAGTATGTGTTGCGCTTTTGTGAAGACACACAGAAGACACATTCTTGACTTCTGTCTGCTATGATTTTTAATAATTGGTCACATGTGTTAGACAGCAGCATTGTACGGAGTTGTATTTCTTTGGCATGTACAACCAATGCTGTGAGAAGCAAAGTGACACACTGTGTCAAATGAAGTAGTTCGGTTTTAAAAAAATGCATTGAGACCTTCACAATTTTGTTGCGCTTCGTCTAGCAGTTTGTAAATGGTGACAAACAAAAATATGTTTCCTGTTTGTTATTATTTCCTATTTAAGATATTAAATAAGATACAGTAATGATTTAGCTTCTTAAGATATTTCATATCTTATATAAATAATTCATTTAAAAAAACAACGTTAAGATTTATTTAAAAAATGTTTTATTAAAAAATAGGTTAGATTGGTACGGAAGAGGATTAGGGCCAAGCAATAATAAAAAATGAAACCATCTCGAGATTAAAGTCATTATAATATGATATTAATATGAGAATAAACTCATTTAATTACGAGAAAAAAGTCATTACATTTCGAGAAAAAACTCGTTACATTTTGAGGAAAAAGTTGAAATAAAACTTTGAGAATAAACTTGTTAAATTACGAGAAAAAAGTCATTAAGTTTCGAGAAAAAAGTCTCGTAATTTAACAAGTTTATTCTCAACATTTCATTTCGAATTTTTTCTCGAAATTTACCGAGTTTTTTTTTTTTCTTTAAATTTAACGAGTTTATCTCAACATTTTATTTAGACTTTTTTCTTGGAATTTTACCACATTTTTCTCGAAATTTAATGACTTTTTTATCGTAATTTAACGAGTTTATTCTCAAAATTGTATTTCGACTTTTTTTCTCGAAATGTAACAATTTTAATCTCGAGATGGTTTAATTTTTTTATTATTGTTTGGCCCTATCCGTAGATTGGTACTTTTATTAAAGGACATTTTCATATTTGTACGCAGATGATCTTTAGTGTTACAACCTTCCCCAGTCACACCATAAAGTCATCTGAGTCTACTCATAACTCAATAATATGAAACAATAATATATATATATAAACCTTAAGCTCTATGGAAGATATTTGGAAGAATAAAGGTAAAATGCTGGCAGATATAGTTCCTTTACATTACATTCAAATGATTTGTTCACACATTCACTTTATTCTAATATTAGAACATTCTTCATTGGGTGTTTTTGATTCGCTGAAGAATGTTTGGTGTGTGTGAATCCCAGACCTCTCAGGACACTTGAGCTGCACAGACTGATCTGTGCGTTGATTGGGATCATCTGATGGAGTCTGTCTGTCTCTGTGTCAGGCGTTAGAGTGGATCGAGGAGGCAGGAGAGGTGTATCTCGCCTCTCACACGTCCCCTGGAGACTCAGTGGAGAAAACTCAGGAGCTGCTCAAAGAATATGAAGAAGTCCGCGTCTCTGCCAAGGTACAGAGACACAAACCCTTCCCCTCACCTCTTCCTCCTGCATTTACTATTAGTCTCTAATGCGTGACACATACTGCCACATCAACCTTTCAAACAAGTCATTCTCTCTGAGGGACTTTTAAAAGATTGTCACTTTGCACGACATGACGCGTGTTGAGCATAAATGATCAAACCACACGCTCACACACATAATGTTCATGTGTGACGCAGCAAACTAAAGAGAAAGTGAAGATGTTGATCCAGCTGGCAGATAATTTTGTGGAGAAGGGCCACACGCACGTCACCGAGCTGAAGAAGTGGGTGACGGCAGTGGACAAGCGCTACAGAGATTTTTCCCTGCGCATGGGCAAATACCGCTGCAGTCTGGAGAACGCTCTGGGCATCAGCTCTGAGGTACTGCACATAACCAGCAATAATAATAATTCATTCATTTATTCATTAGTTCGTTCATTCGTTTGTTTGTTTGTTTTATTTCTAGCCCCTTAACCTGCACTGTATCGCTGATAGAAAATTGCTTGTTTTATATAAATTAATTAATCAATTAATTTTTTATAAACTATATACCTACTTTTATACCTAACTGTATATCAGTACTTTATAGCAGAAGCAAAAGTAAAAAGCATAAGGAAGCAAGTTTTTAGGCAATAATTATTGTTATATTTTAGCATCTCTGTCTGTGATCAGATAATTTTAAGCTGCTAAACTCTGGGAAAGTTTTTATTTAAAATATATTATAACAAATATATATAATTTATTATTTTATTATTTATTTATTTATTATATATATATATATATATATATTGAGCCAGGCAGTTTATTTATTTATTTATTTATTGTTAATGACAGTTTTTTAATGGTTTTTCATGGTGAAATTTAAAAAGTTTTAAAGTAGTTTATTTTTTGCAGTAGTTGTTAGTGACATGGCGTGTAACCAAGAATGGTGTCCCATACTCTGAATACACAACATGAGTTAATCCACATATGACAGCCTCTGAACTTGGTCAAAACTAATCTTATATACAGGCACTGGACTAAAAATACATTAAATCAGTCATCGCTCCCAAAATGAATTCAACGGGTCATCTTGTTAATGCTATAAATTAATTACAAAATTTCATCATGAACAAGAACATGAACAACAATATATCACATTAGACCACAGAAATTCCAAAATGACATTTCCCTTACATTCAACTTCCAAAAGTGCATTAATCTTTGCCATGTTACATTCATTTAGTTAACTAGTGCTATACGCTGTATTACCAAAAACATAAATGGCAATAATAAACACTTACACCAAAGTGTTTTGGAACCCAACTCTTCATATATATATATATATATATATATATATATACATATAATTTATTCATTCATTTTGTTTTTTTTTATTTTGTTTTTTTGTAATATGAAAATTAATAGGAAATTATTGTGCTTTTAAAAATAAACTCTTTCCCAACCCGTTCACATTGCTTTTGTTTTATTAGTTGAACACAGTTGAAATGGAAAGCACATCTAATGCAGTGTGTTATCTTGTGTGTTCAGTATACTACACATTTTAACAAATAGAGCATACACAGCAGCAGTGTTTTCTGAACATAACCATGTGGATTTTTTTTTGTGAGATCTGATTGTGTGTCTGTGTGTTTCAGGATAATAAGGATCTGGAGCTGGATATCATTCCAGCCAGTCTGACTGACCCAGAGGTCAAACTGCGTGACCCCAACCACGAGATCAACGAGGAAAAGAGGAAATCAGCCCGGAAGAAAGAGTAAGGGATCCTACAGAGCCTCCAGACAGCAGCTCCACACACACATCACAGTTTCAGACTCTTAGAATCGCTCTCTGCTTTGTATCGTTGCAGGTTTATTATAGCAGAGCTGTTACAGACAGAAAAGGCTTATGTGAGGGACTTGCATGAATGTCTAGAGGTAAGTGTTTCAGTTTTATTAATATTAATAAATATTTATTTAAACATTTTTGCAGCTCTACCTTTAGGTCTTCTATATCGCTGTCTATATATGTACATCAAAATCCATTGTTTTAAAAGAAATACGTTTGCCATGATACGACCCGTGTAAGATCCTAAGGTCTTTATTGTACATTGAGATATTGCATGCCAATGATTGCAGACAGTAAATTCCTGCGTCTGTGATTTATTTATTAGACGTATTTGTGGGAGATGACCAATGGTGTAGAGGAAATCCCTCCAGGAATCGCCAACAAAGAGCACATCATCTTTGGAAACATCCAGGAGATTTACGACTTCCATAATAAGTGAGTTTTTCTCATTAAATCAAATATTAATGACATTTTTAGCCCATAAGCCACTGAGCTTTTTATCAGCATACACACAGTTTTCTTATTTTTGCAGAGGAAAGAGGTGACTAATATGCTTTCCAATTAAAATGATACATATGCAAATTGTGTATCCCATGTGATATGAAAATTCAGTGATTACGACTCATTTGCATGTTGTGTTGTGTGTATTATAGTATATTTCTGAAAGAGCTAATCAATTATGAGCAGTTACCTGAGGATGTGGGCCATTGCTTTGTTACATGGGTGAGTGTTTCAAAATATTGCATTTGCTCAGGAAATTATGTTATTGTTAATGTTGTGCACCTAACAACTTTTTTCAACTACAATTTTTAAAGCAAACTATTTATAAAAACGATTTATTTATTTATTTGTTTGTTTATTTGTTTATTGATTGATTGATTGATTGATTTGACAGTTTCCTTATTATACATGTTATATATATTTACTAGAATAATAGCAGTAAATTATGCATAATTACAAACAATTAACCCTAACCATATAGTATGTATGTAATATTCTGTATTGTATTTTATTTTATTTTATTTTATATATAATAAAATAAAATAATATAATATATTTATTATTTTATTTATTCCAACTAAATGATTTTATTACAGCAAGAATTCTGACAATCAATTAAACACTGTGAATATTCACTGAAATTAAATATGACAGATCTTTTAGTTTTCCTTTGATATGCTGAATTAAAGCTTGTGTGTTCGTGTTTCAGGCTGATAAGTTTAATATTTATGTGACGTACTGCAAAAACAAACCAGATTCCAGTCAGCTCATCCTAGAGCATGCTGGGAGTTTTTTTGACGTAAGTACACACGAGTTTTCTAAATCATCATTTTGATGACTCCGAATGTATTTTGACTTCTTTTGTATCTTCAGCAATTTGCTTACATGTGTTTTTTTTACATAGTAGTAAATTTAGCTGAAATGAAATTACTTTTTGATCACTATGAAGTGGTCAGTAGATGGAGTCAGTGAGTGAGTCATTCAGTGGGTCAGTGTGTGAATGGTGCTCTGTTCATATATGATGATTGGTTTTGTCTGCTCTGAACAGGAGATTCAGAAGAGACATGGTCTGGCCAACTCTATATCATCATACCTCATCAAACCTGTGCAGAGAATCACCAAATACCAGCTGCTGCTCAAGGTACCGCGTGTCTCCCAGACATTCAGTGTTTGCTATGAGAAGGTCAGACGTTGTGTTCGGTGCGCTGTGTAGTGTTCAGTACAGTGTGTGTGCTTACAGGAGCTGCTGTCCTGCTGTGAAGAAGGCAAAGGTGAAATTAAAGACGGGCTGGAGGTCATGCTGAGTGTCCCAAAGAGAGCCAATGACGCCATGCACGTCAGCATGCTGGAGGGTACAACATCACCGAACACACACACACACACACACACACACACACAAACACACGTTTGTTTCTGTGAATTGTGGGGACTTTTCATAGACTTCTTTAACTTTTATACTGACCAAACAATATTTTCTATCCCCTAACCCTAAACCTACCCCTGAAAGAAAACCTGTTTGCATTGTTACACTTTCAGATAAAAAAAATTACTATTTTTTATCTTTTTTTGTTCAGGTTTTACTATTCTTGCATAAACACACACACACACACACACAAATTAATTAATAATAAAACTGTCATGAAGTAAGTAACATTATATCTGTATAATTTGTTGCTATTTCTAGTTCTAAATAAAATATAATAATACAAGTATTGTTCTTTTAAGAAGACTTCTAGCTTAATTGAATTAATATTATGATTTAAATTCTAAATATAATAAATATAAAAAAATCATATAATATGTTTATTTCTCAAATAAATAAATGAGAGCAAACAGAAATAAATCCTTTTTGAGCCCTGTTTAAAAAAAAAAAAAGTGAAAGTGATAAAGTATGGAATTAGTGCTCTGCATTTAACCCATACAAAGTGCACACACACACATCGTGAACACACACCCAGAGCAGTGGGCAGCCATTTTTTTGCTGCGGCGCCCGGGGAGCAGTTGGGGGTTCGGTGCCTTGCTTCACACACACACACACACTTTCCACAGATGCGCTAAGCCTTCAGCCTCTGACGTGATGTTTTCTTCCTCAGGTTTTGATGAGAATCTGGATGTTCAGGGTGAACTCATCCTGCAGGACACCTTCCAGGTGTGGGACCCCAAATCACTGATCCGTAAGGGACGAGACCGCCACCTCTTCCTCTTCGAGATCTCCCTCGTCTTCAGCAAAGAAATCAAAGACTCGGGACGATCCAAATACATGAAGTTGTTTACAGTTTTTTTTTTAACTGCTTAAACACAAAATCTTTACTTGTCACACAATTTCTGAAACCTGACACTCAAACACCAGAACCTCACACCAAATCTGCAAAACCATACTCTAATTATCGGCCTGTGACTCCGTTTTCAATTTCATAAAACACTTTCTGCAAAACACAACACACAATTCTCTATGTAACACACACAAATCTAACAGGAATTAATATTACGGCAAAGGTGTTTGCAAATGTTTGCTTTTGAGATGTGTTTGTGATATTTTGAATGCAGTGCTTCATTTTGCAAGAGATGTGAGGCATTTTACATTTTGTGTGTGCAATTCTTGGATTTGTGTGTGAAGCTTTGAAAATGTGTGTAAGTTGAAAAAAAAACTGTAAGATAATAGAGAGAAGTCTTTTATACTCACAAAGCATAATAGTTAACTTTAATCAAAATTAATGCATTGTTGCTGAATAAAGACATTTGTTATTCTGTCTTTTATTGCACATTGTTGTTGCAAATATGTGAAAATGTCACTAAGGTAAAGTTATCCAACAAGTTAACAGATGACGGTTTGCCAAAATTGTCCAGATTTAAGTTTTAAAGCCATTCTTTAAAATTGGTTGAAAACTAAAAACAAATAATTGTGTCCTTCAAACTGTGCAAAATGTATAATCCATGAATTAATAATAAAGTATCTGTATAATATTTCTAGTTCTAAAGAAGAAAAAATAATAACAATAATTTTTTTTTTAAAGACTTTTGCCTTAAATTAATATTATGATTTAAATATTAATATAATATTTAAAAAAATCATAAAATATGTTTATTTCTCAAATAAATACATAAACAAGAGCAAGCAGAAATAAATCCTTTTTGAGCCCTGCTTTAGATCATTTCAATGTCATAAACGAAAGGAAAGCCCCATGGGAGGGTCAGTTGGTGCACACATGAACACAGTTATATCTGAATTTTACATTTCCCATCTGTTTTACCACATTGTGCAACTCTGTTAAGTGTTTCCACACATACCTGGAAGCAGCCCCGGCAGGTGTGTGGACCAGATGGGGCGTTTGTCACCCCTCTCTCTGTGCTCAGTGTGCCTGTGAACAGATCCAGATGTGCCTTTGGTTTTCCTCTGGTCATCTGGAATTGTCTCGCAAACACAATTTAAGACTCTACTTTTTTACTGAGGAAATGCTTTCAATTTTGTTGTTCCGCTTTCAGTTAAGTTCACTCTTGGGTTATCTCACTCTTAAATACTCCATATTCTTATCCTCTTAAATACATTTTCCATGCATACTGAATTAATTTTAATATCTGTTCTGATTTTTCTGCGTTTGCAGACTTCTGAATTGGGGGTGACAGAACATGTGGAAGGAGACCCGTGTAAATTTGCCCTGTGGGTGGGACGCACACCCTCATCCGACAACAAGACTGTCCTCAAGGTACATTATTCACTCCTATTTTATTTACCATTTTATTAGAAGTAAATTACTTTTAGAGTGGTAAGTGTTCGTAAACACGTTCCAGTCAGTGAAACTGCTAATGAGCAAAGATTTTCATAAACATTTCCTGCTTTTTTTTGTTGTCATGATTGTTGTGTCGTACTGCTGTCCTGTTGGAGTATAACACGGATCTTCTGTTTTTAATGCGCATGACTGTGTCTGTGTCAGGCGTCCAGTATCGAGGTGAAGCAAGAATGGATTAAAAACATCCGAGAGGTCATCCAGGAGAGAATCATTCACCTGAAGGGGGCGCTGAAGGAACCAATCCGCGTTCCCAAAACCCCAGCCAAACCCCGTAACAACAGCAAGAGGTCAGACGCTCTCTACCGTTGCACACTGATCTTACATACTCTACACACACAGTCCTAAAAATGAATATAATCATAATCTCAGCTCTCAGAGATACTGCAGTTGTAAATGCTGCTATTTGTAGATTCTGCTTTTTTTTTTTTTCATCAAATCATTTGTATGTTGCTTTGGATCAAAGCATCTGCTAAATGACTGAATGTAAATCTGTAGAAAGAATGAGACCAAACACTATCCATGAATATTCATAACCATTTATGCATGACAATGCAGGAGGCTTATGCTCATGTATAAACATTTGCCATCTTGTCTCTCCTCACGCAAGCTTCGATTGCTTGTTAAAATGTGTGCATATGGGAGTAAGGATGCGCAGTGAAGCCAATATCTGTTGCAATAGTACAATTATTTGTATTTGTATTCTGATAAAGCTGGATGTGGGCAGGGAAAGTTTGAAAAGAAAGAATGTTTGTCCCTTTTTAAATGTAATTCTGTTCTCTTCATGGTTCACATATAAACATGCCTGTTATAATTATAACTTGATTCCTTTTTAGTACAAAATGTCTGTAAATATATATTTTTTTAAAGCCATTTATGTATACATATGAACACATCGGAAACAGCGAAGCGACTCATTTTTATTCTAATCAGATCTCATTAGAAAATTAGTAATAGTATGAAGTTGTGCTTTCTAATGAATTTGTATGATATGATTTGTACAAAACATACAATTTTTAGAAAAAAGCATGAAGCTCCACCCCTAAATATAACAATCAGTGGGGTGTAAGCAGATGCAAAACGAGATCTTACAAATTCATACGAATTAGTCACCAAATGTCAATAGTTATGAATACAATGAGATTGGGTCACTTTTGCGTTGTCTGAAATACTGTGCTGTCAGCTCTCCTGTTATCCAGCAAGAGCAAGGACTGACTGTATCTAATGAATAGTATTCTTTGTTTGAATTCGTTTAAAGTATTCAGCTTCGGGCACATCCCTAATCGGGACTTTTATTTGTGTGTTTGGTTGCAGGGAGGCTGGTGAGGATGCTGACAGTCAGGGAGATGGCAGCAGTCAGCCGGACACAATCTCCATCGCATCCAGAACCTCTCAGAACACTGTGGACAGTGACAAGGTACGAACGCACAGATCTGACCTCTGACCTCTGGAGCTGCTCTCGGTTCTACTGACCTGAGGCATCAGAAGCAACACACAGGGGCCAAACTTTGAGTCATTTAGATATCCTTTATAGACATATTTGAATATTGTACACACTATATATACTACTTTTTTTTTCAATACAAAGCTATAAAAAGAGTTAGAGTAGCATACTAGAATGCAGGACTTTCCACTAAAAATCAGACCCCAACTCCAGACCCCGCCCCCTGAAGGGTCAGGTGATCAGTGATTGACAGGTGTATGTCACACAGGGTTTCCTTGCTTTAGTAATGGAGCAGGGGCTGTCATGCTCCAGCACAGATGATGAGTACAGCGCTCATGAGCGGTAAACAGATGTGTTAGACAGTCATGTTCAACCATGAAAAGTCTCTTCAAACTGTGTGCTGGATTCAGCCCTCAGAAGAGCTATGAGACGCCCTATCAAATCAAAGTAAGACACACTGAGCACACGTGTTTGTGCTGGTGTTTTAGGCACTTCCATAATAGCTTGTGGTGTTTTATGAGCTGTGCGTGTTTGTGTTGTGAGGTTAGTTTGTTTTGGAGATGACCGCATCTCTGTGACTTGCTTTTGCTCAGAGGAGAACGTGTGTTACCAACTCTTGACTCTGTTTGAAGAGTAGCACTTCCTTCACCAGTTTCCTCCTGCTGGGATTTTAAAATACTCTGCTCTGACTGAATTTTACACAACTATATGTTGCCTATCCTTGGCATTGTTGGGTTGTTTTGTAAAAGAGGAAGCAGCAGAGTATATTTATGCCTTAATACTGTATTTGTGACTTTATAATGAGACAGTGGAGTCTCTGAATGCAGTAAATTGTTTTGAGATGGACCATGATGGCTGACTACTTGAATAATCATCCAGCAACCCGCTAAGTCTATTTATTCTAGATTTAGAACTTTAGTATGCGAAAACTTTCTCATACGTTTTAATTATAGGCTGTGCTGCCGTTTTTTACCAGTTTAATTTGAGATGTTTTTTCATAGTTTCCACTCTGCCTGAATGAATCAAAACTTGGTGACTTTTTATAGAAATGCAATCTGAAGGGGGAAAAAGCTAGTCTAAATGATTATTCAAAAAATTCACACCTTGGCTTTTCATGGTCAAAATTAACCTACCATGGGAAATGAATAGGTAAATATGGAAGCCTGTTTCCGCCACTAAATAAAAAATAAAACAAGGTAAATGCGAAAAAAAATTCTCACAATTCTGACTTTTTTTCTCAGAATTGTATGATATAAACTCGCAATTCTGACTTTATAACACACAATTGCGAGATATAAAGTCAGAATTGTGAGAAAAAAACTCACAATCGCGACTTTATATCTCGCAATTCTGACATTTTTCTCAGAATTGCAAAATATGAACTCGCAATTCTGAGTAAAAAGTCAGAATTGTGAGAGAAAAAGTCGCACTTACCGTATTTTATTTTTTATTCAGTGGCGGAAATGGGCTTCCATAGGTAAAGACCCTAACACAGAGCAATGTTTAGCATGAATATAGCGTTGAATAATCTGTATCTACAGTGTACATCACCCACAATGTTGAACGAACACACCGAAATGAAGGAGAAAGACTATAAAATGTCCAGAGTATAACAGATTCACACACTTACACACACCCAGAGAGAGTTGAGAGTCCATGACTGTGAGCTTTACTGTGAAAAATAAACAAATAAATAACTAGAAGTTGACAATTATTAGGGTAATGTCTAAATCAGTGGTTCTCAACCTTTTTTTCCACTGGGCCGCACTATGGTCCAAGTGCAAGTCTCACGGGCCGCATGTCATTTACATATTATGTCACCAATACAAACCAACCAGATTTATAATATTACAACCTAAATATCTAAATGATTACATTTATTGAAATAAATAAATAATTCTACTCGCCTTTAATAAAACACCTGATGCTGTCGGGAGCTGACCAATTTTGGGAAATTCGGCTCGAAAGGAGTAACAGCACAATGAAGTTGCGATTGTAAGTTGCAGTCTGTAAGATCCAAATATGGAAAGCACTTTTGAATTTAATAATCTGAGGTTCTCTCCAGAGATGTTTTGCCACATTTCTGCAATTAAGGATGATTGCTGTGTATTACGGGTGTTTCCTTTTGCCTGAACATCTTCAAGTGAGTGGCGTGGCAAACCGAAAGTCCAGCACTCTCCTACCTTCACTGCTGCGACTACTCTTGTTTGTATGTGTTCCTTCGCTGGCATTTTCCACATGTCGTTTTTCTCCCTTAATAACAAATTTGTCCATTCTGATGCTCAGTTTTACCGAACTAATGGCTGCTGATGACTATTTGAATTGAATTCTGCCAAAGTGCACGCTTGTAAGTGTTTGTTAAATGCGTAACGTTAATTGCGTGAGTAGCCTACAGGTCTGCTCATGTCTGAAAATAATATATGAAAAACTAAATTATTTGACATAACAAAAACATTATAGCTTATATTTGTTTAGTGCATTTTTAAATTAATGTAAAAACTAAAATGAATTGTAAAACTGGAAGTTATTTTTTAATTGTGTTCAGCATGGGGGGCCGCGGGTTATTTTTCTTTTTTCACAAGTTGGCAGCAACCTGGCCCAATACATGATAGATTCTTATATTTGCTTAATGTTTTAGCTTACAGAAGATTTTTACTGTAGTGACGTTCAAAAGTTTGCCTATTTGTTTATAGAAATGATGGTGAAATTAAGAAATTTGCATGTAAATATACTTAAAAATACTTAAAATGTAAATCATCTAAAATCCCAAAATAAGTGCATAATTTTATTGTTTCTACTTCCAGGAAATTAGTGTTCTTTAAGTATTTAAAGAACTTAAAGTATTTAAAGGGGTCATATGATGCGATTTCAATTTTTCCTTTCTCTTTGGCGTGTTACAAGCTCTTGGTGCATAAAGAAGATCTGTAAAGATGCAAAGACTAAAGTCTCAAATCCAAAGAGATATTCTTTATAAAAGTTAAGAGTTAACCACGCCTACCTAAAACGGCTCATTCTAACACGCCCCCACATGTCTACATCACAATGTGGGAAGATTTGCATAACGCCGCCCAAATATTCACGCAAAGAAAGAAGGCGTAACTTATATTCTCGCTGTAAAATAATGTTCTTTTTAGCAACATCATATGACCCCTTTAAGTATTACTATAGTATTCTTAGTCATTCGGGCAATCTGCTGACCCAGTGTCGAATTTGTAAATCAGGTTTTGACCTCATTTGAAACATGTCTTTTAGAACTATACAATTAATCCAGTAGTTAACACACACTGGGCCTCCTTTAACGAAATGAACGTACGACAGAAAATTGGGCGTACGGTCGTTTCAACGCAAAACTTGGAATTTATCAATATGGACGTGAGCGGTGGCTACGATGAAAACTCACATCTGGTTGAGTTACCTGAACTTGCGCGCAGCATAGTAAATATGGTGGAGAATTGCAGAATGACAGCGTTTTGTTGTTGTCCTGACCGTCAAACGAAGCTCATTAGTCGATCGTTAACTAGTAAGATTAGAAGATTAGAGTGCAACAAGTATAGGCTACGCTCGTTTTTGTGACACTCTTAATGCATTTTATTTATTTTCTTTATATCTTTATTTGATCTAATCCATCTGATCGCACAGGCGCCTCACGAACACACAAGCAAATTAGTTCTACCGTTGCCTGACATTTCAGCCATTCATCATCAAACTAAAATGCAGTCAGCCAAATATAAAAGTTACACTGTTTATTTTAAAAGGTCCACTGTGAAATCAGCGTGCAGTGCCCAAACAAACATTTGCATGTGAAGGATTTTACACGGATATTAGAACATGAGTGAAATATAAAGCCATGGCTACATAATGAATAATAGTTATGCAAACAAATGTTACAAATATGGCAAAAATGGAAACATTTGGATTCTTGTGTTATGAGACAGGCTTGTGAGCCCAATGCCGTTTCAGTTTTGCTTGACATTTGTATGCTGTTTATAATGAATGCCACTATAGCCTAATTTTATTAAAATATGTGTTGTAGAATGAGGGGAACTAAATAGGCTGTTTATATTTACCAGTATTTTAATATACATATAAATTACATATATTTATGTAGCCTATATGTTTGGAATTACAAGGTTAACAGGTGTTTGTGGAGTAAGATCAATTTCTCTTTCACGAGATTACTTCCTCTTTTTGGCCGGGTTTCGTTTCTCCGTGTCATAAACTCTAGGGGCGAGGCTTCTAAAACCGGGGTGTTTTTAGGGGCGTGATATTCAAATGACGATTGAAATGATGACATTTATCAACGTGCGATTATTCGTCAGTTGATTCGTGCGCACGGATCTGCGCTCGTTTCTACGTTAGATTGATAAATGAGGTCCACTGTGTCTGTTTCTAACTGTTTCTCATTTTTAACTAGGGCCTTTTTAGTTTAGGTTTCATCCTGTTGTGTGTTTGTTATTTTAACCAGACAATGAGGATGTTCAGAGCCTTCATATTCTGATGCATTGTGTATTCTGTGATATAACATGTGCATCACATAAGTTCAGATTTTAACGGTGAATAATGGCTGTTTCCACACAGGTTTCCTGAAGTGCAGTATTGAGCTGAATTCAGTCTTGTTTTCAGGCTGATGGGAGCTAAAGACACATTCACAGTGTGTGTGTGTGTGTGTGTGGTGTCTCTCTGGAATAAGAGTTTCCTTCATTCACTCACAACAGCTCAGGGTCTGTTTATTACTGTACACTGCGGAAATCACATTCATCATACTGCATAATGATGCTTTTATCCGTACAGCTCATGCTGAACGCATGTCACAAGACCATCATACGGCATTAGATATTTCTTTCTGGATTCATTTTAAGATTAAACCATATTTAGATTTTTCATTAAAATGTGCAGTTTCCCCCCCTTTGGCATATGGGATAATTTTAAAAGCAAATGTGAGTTGTGACAGATGTTTTCTTTAGTAGACGGTC